TTTATTGAATAACTATTATTTACTATAATTGCATGAAAGAAATAAAATATAAACTATAAACAAAACGTGACTACTAAAATCTCAAAAAGATATTCTCATAAATATATTTCACGCAACCAGGAATCTCAAAACCATTAGACGCTATAATGATACTCTGCACATGTTTGACACAAGAAGAGGCCAAAAAGCAAGCGTCCGACACACAAAACCCGTCAGTCACAATCAACGATTCTACGAATCGCGAGCGCTCACGAATCATAAAACCGCTGACTGCGACACTCTGGAAGCGAAATTGACAGGCTCTATGCGTCAAACACCCGCCCTTCAATCTCCTCCCGCATCAAACAACACAAATCTCCACTACAACATCTAACGAATTCAAAACTCCTAAAAACTTCCATCTATAGCAAGTGAGTGGAAGCAACCCTTCATGATACACATTTTCTGCCTATCTTTCTATTAGGCCTGTGGACATGCATTGGCTTCGAAACTTCTAACCAAACTGGGAAAATTTTCAGATCACAAAAAAAATTAAAGGTAATTACAAGTAAAATATACATTGATTATTTTACGCGAGAACGAGCAAGTAATATTAAATTTCTTGTATCGTATGCTAATTATAATTAACTGTAACAAAAATAATATGCTTAAATAAAATAAAATATTAATAAAATTATATGCAAAATTTACTAGAAGATCATTACTTTATTGGTGAGAAGTTTCTAATAAGCCCTCCCAGTTCCTCTGTATACATAACAAATCTGATACTATAATCAGAATTGCTCAATCTGCATGAAGCAGCCGATTTCATCAAGGAAGTTCTATTAACAACCAAGAATTAATCATTTGAGGCATACTGAAGCATTAAGAAGGTGATATGTGTCACTATAGGAAATCATCATCGTTGCAAATATAAAGAAATTAAACATAACCCTTTGCTTCAATACCGTCAACCTCCATGTCCATGGGGAGGGATTCAATATGCCAGCTTCTGGTTGGAGAAAAACTGGGAAATACTGCCAAATTACCCACAATATCGGGTATTTTTGGAATATTGGTGACGTGTAGGGACCGAAAAACCATGTCTGACACCATTTTGAAATTCAATATGGTGGCTTCCGGTTAGAGAAAAACTAGGAAATACTGCCAAATTAGCCATAATATAGGTATTTTTGGAATCTTGGTGACGTGTAGGGAACGGACATCGATGTCTGAGGTCGTTTTGAAAATCAAGATGGCGACTTCCGGTTGGAGAAAATCTGGGATATTCTGTCAAATACACTACCTTATGAGTATTTAAAGGAATCTTGGTGACGTATAGGGACCAGATATCGATGTCTGAGCGAGAGGCACGCAATACAAAGAACCGGTGCGTTGAAGTTAAAATGCAATCAAAAGTACTTAGGGTAATTTGTAATTTGTAATTTATTGATAGTATAACGAAAACCTGTCAGTTACAGAATAATAAATCAGGTCAAGGAAGCAACCATTTTGAATCAGTTTAGTGGGGAGTTAAGAATGAAATTAAAGTCTATGTCTAAACATTTGACATTTCCTAAATCGACAGCTACTATTGGTATTAGCCTAGAGAATTAATCAGCTCTGTGGAGCGCCGCTTTAAGAGAGTCCGTTGCTGCCTTGTAGCTAGTGGTAGTGCGTTCCAGGTGGACGCTCCGAATATTAGAACACTTTTTCGGGAACTTGTGGTGTGATGTGGTAGGACAAAGGATCTAGCTCGCTCGTTCCGACCTTTAGGTGTGTACTGCGTGATGTACTCTGGGAGGCTTCCATGGTACGCCCCGTACATGAAGCAGCAGATACGACGGTGGTAGTTTTCCGGCAGATCGCATCCGAGTATGGTGTGTCGCACTTCTCTGGTCGTGTCACGCCCTCGGATTCTATACATGAACCTCACCGACGACTTGAAGCATCGATGTAACTGAGCCTTGAGCGCGGTGGACAGTCCTGGGTAGTACACGACGTCGCAGTATGCCAAGAACGGCATCACCGCAGCTTGGACGAGCTTCATACGAATCTGTCTGGAAAGCACTCCACGGAAGCACCTGAACGTACGAAGAGTATTGTAGATCTTTTTGGTGACTTCGTTTATCGTAATTAATGCGTTTTGAAGTAGTACTGACGGTAATTAAAATTATCTATCCGTAATTGATGTACTTTAATTACGAAATTTCAACTGTAATTAATGGAGTTAAAAAGTAGTTTATGTTCTACATTGTGTAGTTAAAGTAATTAAAGCAGTAGTTAATGGGATTGATTTTATTACAGCCGTTGCCTGCGTTGGAGTTAAAGGTTATTGCGTGCCCCTAGTGTCTGAGGCCATGCTTGGCATACACAGTTTTGGTCACGAACTGCTCATTTGCTAATAACTTTGCACACAGTTGACGGAACATAAAGGGTGATACGGTCAAAATTTGGTCAATATCAACATGACGTATTTCTTTCAATTTTGCATTTAAAAAACCTGAACACCCCTCATTTTGAAGGTGTGTGTGTGTAGAATGTTGCTCCTATTTTGATTTTGGAATTCACTCTTCAGTTGTCAAAATGCCGTCCAAGCAAGAAGAGCAGCGTATCAAAATTTTGCTCGCGCATCGCGAAAATCCGAGCTACTCGCACGCAAAGTTGGCAAAATCGCTAAAAGTTGCCAAATCAACCGTTACAAATGTAATTAAAGTGTTTGGGGAACGTTTGTCGACAGCCAGGAAGTCTGGATCGGGGGGAAATCGAAAACCGCAAGCCGCTGAGACGACAAAGAGAGTTGCCGGTAGTTTCAAGCGAAACCCTAACCTCTCTCTCCGCGATGCCGCAAATAAGCTGGGTGTATCGTCTACAACCGTGCATCGAGCCAAAAAACGAGCCGGACTATCGACTAACAAGAAGGTAGTGACTCCAAATCGCGATGATAATCAAAATACGACGGCCAAAGCGCGATCCCGGAGGCTGTACACGACGATGCTGACGAAGTTTGACTGCGTGGTAATGGACGACGAAACCTACGTCAAAGCCGACTACAAGCAGCTTCCGGGACAGGAATTTTATACGGCAAAAGGAAGGGGAAAGGTAGCAGATGTTTTCAAGCACATGAAACTGTCAAAGTTCGCAAAGAAATATCTGGTTTGGCAAGCCATCTGTACCTGTGGCTTGAAAAGCAGCATTTTCATAGCTTCCGGGACTGTCAACTGTTCCGTACTGTTTTGGCCGGATTTGGCATCTTGCCATTACGGTAAAAAGGCAATGGAGTGGTACGCCGCCAACAACGTGCAGGTGGTTCCCAAGGACAAGAACCCTCCCAACACGCCAGAGCTCCGCCCAATTGAGAAATACTGGGCTATTGTCAAGCGGAACCTAAAGAAGACCAAAAAAACTGCTAAGGGCGAGCAGCAGTTCAAGGCAAACTGGCTTTCTGCGGCGAAGAAGGTGGACAAGGTGGCTGTACAAAATCTGATGGCAGGGGTCAAGCGTAAGGCCCGGCAATTCGGATTTGGAAAAGCGGAAGCCTAACTGAATATTTTTCCTGAATTTTATACTAATTGAACTTGAAAAAGAAATTTAATTTGATTTTTTAAATAAACGATTTCACCGATTTACACGCGTTTTCCCTTGACCAAATTTTGACCGTATCACCCTTTAGTTCTTTTTGAAGCAGTAGATAGAATATAGTGTAAGCGTGTTATAGATATGTAAAAAAAAAGTAGATTTTAATGCTAGTAGTAAACTGTATTTGTTTTTGCATTGTAAAAATGAGGTGAGAAATGCTCACTACACATCTCGCAATTTAAGCGTTAAATTGATTAGTATTGATTCAATTGTTAAGCTTTACCTAATCTTCGCATATCTATAGTAAACTATGAGCCTAATCTATCAATTACTTTAAAGAAAAATAAATTTCAACATCTGAGTGAAAAGTTATTACTAAATGAGCAGTTGGTGTGTACAGCTGTGCATGCCAAGCATGTCTGAGGCCATTTTGAAATTCAAGATGGCGACTTCCAGTTATAGAAAAAATTAAAAATACTATCAAATACCTCTCAATAAGGGTATTTTTGCAATCTTGGTGATGTGTCGATACCGGAAATCCATGGCTGACGACATTTTGAATTCATTATGGTGGCTTTCCGTTAGTTTCTGTAACCGAAAGCCACCATATTGGATCTCAAAATAGCATCAGACATGGATTTCCGGACCCAACACGTCACCCCGATTCCAAAAAATATCCATATTGCGGGATATTTGACAGTGTCTTAGTTTTTCTGTATTAGGAAGCCACCATATTGGATTTCAAATTGGCCTCAGACATCAATATCCGATCCCTACACGTCACCAAGATTCCAAAAATACTCATACTGTGAGTAATTTGGCAGCATTTCCCAGCTTTTCTCTAACCGGAAACTACCATATTGAATTCAAAATGGCGTCAGACATGGGTTTCCGATCGCTACACGTCACTCCGATTCCAAAAATACCCATATTGAGGAAACCGGGTTGGAAACAATAAAAAATTTGATTGAAACAAATTTAGAAGTAATAAATTACCGAAAACCGCAACCATCGCTTATATAACTCCAACGGTTTCCATCCAGTCGACTGCAACGAAGGTTACGACTCTTGTCACTTAAAATCGTCACTTCAGAACGACTTTTGTCACCGAAAAACGACTGTGAGAATTAGGTTTTGCACCGTCGGAGTTAACCTCAAACTGATGACAGTTCAGTGGTACTGTTTACGTGGACTTAGTCGATTTTTTCTTGGGCAGATTTTCTGGATTTTTTTCTGATTGCAGTGAGATGTAAACCACACTTTTGCAATGTCCACGAGTAACATCCTTTCACCACGCATTTCCTCGACAATTTTCAATTTAAAATTCGGAAATTTTAAAATATATTTTTTTCGAAAAAACGACTAAGTGCTTGTAAACAGTACCACTGAACTGTCAAAAAGGTTCAGGCGATTAACACTGAGTTCATTTGTGACGTCACGCTGCAGTACCTAATAAGGTGAGAGTTCATCGGGTTCATCCCAAGTGACTTTTCTCACAACACTAGCCAACTGGATTCGGGTGACACAAGTGACTCGAGTCACCTGACCTCACGCACCACGCAGAATTAGGTTGTGAAGTGACAATTGTCACCTCGGGTGAGGTGACTGCCTATTTGATTTGCACGAAGAGTTGTCACCTCACCTCACTCGCGGCGCATAATAAGAAGGATAACCCCCCCCCTCCCCCCTATTCTGCGAGTCACGTGAGTTCCTCTCACCGGTGTGGTGAGGATTGTCACATCGTGTGAGGTGACTCTCCATTTGATATGCACGTAAAGGTCTATTCTACATGGGGTGTGAGGTGAGGTGACAACCCCCCTTATTCTGCGAGTCACGTGACTCTCTGTCACCGGTGAGGTGGCAATTGTCACCTCGTGTGAGGTGACTCTCCATGTAAATCAAATAGAGAGTCACCTCACACGAGGTGGCTACCCGCATAAACGCGAACCATAACTTGACCTTACCGAAAATGCTAAAAAATTGCTTATACATACATACATTTATTTGTACAACATCACATTTAAGATAAGACATAATCAACAATAGTACGCCACAATACTCGGTTTGCGGCTGCCGCTCTCCATCCTCGGTCATGCCCAATGCTCGCTAGATCACGCTCTACCTGGTCCGCCCATCGTGCTCTCTGCGTTCCACGCCTTCTTGTGCCAACCGGATCAGTAGCGAACACCAACTTTGCAGGGTTGTTGTCCGGCATTCTTGCAACATGCCCTGCCCACCGCATCATTCCGGCTTTGGCCACCTTCTGGATGCAGGGTTCGCCATAGAGTGCAGCGAGCTCGTGGTTCATTCTTCGCCGCCACTCACCGTTCTCCTGCACACCGCCGAAGATCGTCCTTAGCACACGTCGCTCGAAAACTCCGAGTACTTGCAGGTCCTCGTCGAGCATAGTCCATGTCTCGTGTCCATAGAGGACCACCGGTCTTATTAGCGTTCTGTACATGGTACATTTGGTGCGGGGGTGAATCTTTTTTGACCGTAGTTTCTTCTGGAGCCCGTAGTAGGCACGACTTCCACTGATGATGCGCCTTCGTATTTCACGACTCACATTGTTGTCAGCCGTCATTAAGGATCCAAGGTAAACGAATTCCTCCACTACCTCGAAAGTATCCCCGTCTATCGTGACATTACTTCCTAGACGAATCCTGTCATGTTCGGTTCCGCCTACTAGCATGTACTTTGTTTTTGACGCACTCACCACCAGTCCGACCTTTGCTGCTTCGTGTTTCAGGCGGGTGTATAGTTCTGCCACCGTTCCAAATGTTCTTGCGATAATGTCCATGTCTCCGCAAAGCATACACATTGACCGGATTTCGTGAAAATCGTACCCCGGCTGTTGAGCCCGGCTCGTCGCATTACACCTTCTAGAGCAATGTTGAAGAGTAGGCATGAGAGTCCGTCACCATGTCGCAGTCCCCGGCGAGATTCGAATGAACTGGATAGTTCACCCGAAACCCTTACGCAGTTTTGCACACCGTCCATCGTTGCTTTGATCAGTCTGATCAGCTTCCCAGGAAAGCCGTTCTCGTACATGATTTTCCATAGCTCTGTGCGGTCGATACTGTCGTATGCCGCCTTAAAGTCGATGAACAAATGATGCGTTGGGACCTGGTATTCACGGCATTTCTGGAGGATTTGCCGTACGGTGAAGATCTGGTCCGTTGTCGATCGGCCGTCAATGAAGCCGGCTTGATAACTTCCCACGAACTTGGTCATTTTAGGTGATAGACGACGGAAGATGATCTGGGATAGCACTTTGTAGGCGGCATTCAAAATGGTGATCGCTCAGAAGTTCTCACATTCCAAATGGTCGCCTTTCCCAGATCCTGACTACCATCCGGTGCAGGCAGGTGGCCACATTTTCTGGGCCCATCTTGATGAGTTCGGCTACGATACCATCCTTACTAACTGCTTTGTTGTTTTAGAGCTGCTGAATGGTATCCTTAACTTCTCTCAGCGTGGGAGTTGGGTCAGTTCCGTCCTCTGCTGCACTGACGTAGTCGTTTCCTCCATTGCGCTGGTCTCCCGTGCCTACGTTCTCCTCGCCATTCAGGTGCGCATCGAAGTGCTGCTTCCACCTTTCAATCACCTCACGTCCGTCCGTCATCCCGTCCTTATCCTTGCACATTTCGGCTCGCGGCACGAAGCCGTTGCGGGATGCGTTGAGCTTCTGGTAGAACTTCCGTGTTTCTTGGGAACGGCACAGCAGTTCCATTTCCTCGCACTCCGCTTTTTTCAGGCGGCGTTTTTTCTCCCGAAAGATGCGGGTCTGCTGTTTCCGCTTCTGTTTATACCGTTCCACGTTCTGTCGGGTTCCATGCTGCAGCATTACCACCCGCGCTGCGTTCTTCTCCTCCAAAATCACTCTGCACTCCTCGTCGAACCATTCATTCCGTCGACTTCTTTCCACGTACCCGATGGTGCTCTCGGCTGCGTCGGTGATGGCTGCTTTTACTGTACTCCAGCAGTCCTCTAGAGGGGGTACATCGAGCTCGCCCTCCTCTGGCAACGCTGCCTCGAGATTCGGCACGTATGCTAAGGTGACATCCGGTTGCTTCAGTCGCTCTAGGTTGTACCGTGGCGGGTGTCGGTACCGTACATTGTTGATGACGGAAAGTTTTGGGCGCAGTTTGACCATAGAGGTAACTCTAAGACCACTGGGTCCCGAAGAAAATCATTATTATTTTTGGCTCACTCAGTACCAGAACAACGGTCCCAAGCAGTCCCAAGCTATTTCACTCACCCCTGCATGTTCTGCATGAATCCACACACCCCTGATGTTATCTGTCAAACTTTCATAGCGAATCAAAACAAACATAGTGTAGTAATAGAATTTCAACTAGAATAGGGTACGTTAATCGTTTGCTTGGGACCAATAGGCTACTAAAGTGGTGAGCCAATTTAAAATCGTTAGTTTCGTATTGATTGTTGGTTTGACCATCACCAGGTAGTGGTCAGAGTCAATGTTAGCGCCACGATAGGTCCTGACGTCGATAATGTCGGAGAAGTGCCATCCATCAATCAGAACGTGGTCGATTTGTGATTCCGTCTGCTGTGGTGATCTCCAGGTGTAACGATAGGGGAGGTGGTGTTGGAAGAAGGTGCTACGTATGGCCATGTTCTTGGAAGCGGCGAAATTGATGAGTCGTAGGCCGTTCCCGTTCGTCAGCTGGTGGGTGCTGAACTTTCCAATCGTCGGTCTGAATTCCTCCTCCTGGCCTACCTGAGCGTTTAGGTCTCCTATGATGATCTTGACGTCGTGGCTTGGGCAGCGATCGTACTCGCGGTCGAGCTGCGCGTAAAATGCGTCCTTGTCATCATCAGTGCTTCCGGAGTGAGGGCTGTGCACGTTGATTATGCTAAAGTTGAAGAATCGGCCCTTGATCCTCAACCTGCACATTCTTTCGTCGATCGGCCACCAACCGATCACGCGCTTCTGCATTTCGCCCATCACGATGAAAGCTGTGCCCAGCTCGCGTGTGCTGCCGCAACTCTGGTAGATGGTATGATTACCTCTGAACGTTCGCACCATGGATCCTGTCCAACACACCTCCTGCAGCGCTACGATGCCGAATCCGCGGTCCTTCAGTAGATTGGCGAGTATTCGGGTGCTCCCGATGAAATTGAGAGATCGACAGTTCCACGTACTGAGTTTCCAATCGCAAGTCCTATTTCGTCGCTGGGGTCGTTGCCGTTGGTCTCGGTTCGTATTCCTCTGTTGTTGATTTTCCGTTGCAATGCTTTTTTACGGCTGGCTCGCAGGGCCTGACACCAACCCCCTAACTTTCCGGAGGACCAGGGTGCACAGTTGTGCTTAGAGTCCTTCACTGGCACTCGGACGTAGATCAGCCGCCCCTAACATGGGAACAGACGCTGTTGTGAGCCGCTCCTCCTGGAGAACAGACGCTCAGGCTTGCCGAAGCAAACCCCCCCCCCCCCCCTTCCCTGTCAGTCTATGACCAAAGTTCCTACCGGGGTTGGTTACCCGATCTTCCCTAAGGTTGCTCACAGTTCACGGCCGGTACCACGGGGAGGTAGGGATAGGAGTTGCTGGGAAGAGGCTAGTGATCTCAATGGGATCTGTATTGCGCATTACCCAGCATTAACCGACCAAAAAATTGCTTATAATCCCTGCTAAACTTTAACTGAAATGGTTATGGAACTTTACATGAACGTTTGTGTGATAAAGTTTTAACCTTATGTATGAAGGGTTTTTGGAAGCGGACCTTACAAATAATGGGTTGTTAAGAAACATTACCATTCAAAATAGTTGTTTTCTCCATATATTTTCGGAAAGAGAACTATATTTCAGGCATAACATTTGATAACGGCACAAAAGCATTTGTAAACAAACTTTCTAGGGCCCTTCACACGCGAACCAAAGTAAGCCCACGCAAACCAATACCACTTTCGGAAAGGTGATAGTTGCTCCTATCCGATGAAATTATTGGTTTGCGTGGGAGTACTTTGATTCGCGTGTAAAGGGCCTTGAAAAGTTTGTTTACAAATGCTTTTGTGCCGTTATCAAATGTTATGCCTGATTTGAACCTTTTTACTTATGGTTTGAGAATTTTAATGGTAATGATTATGGTAGCCAGTGAGGTCCATTAATGGTTTTGTATTATCGGTCAACTTTACGTGGAATATATCACGAATTGATAATCAGCAATTTACAGGCAACCAATTCGCGATATATACCACATAAAGTTAATGGATGTTACAAAACCATCAGTGAACCTTACCGACTACCATAACCATTACCATTAAAGTTCTCAAATCATAAATAAAATGGTTCCAATATAATTCCTTTTTCAAAAATGTATGGAGAAAACAAGAATTTGGAATGGTAATGGTTCTTAACAACCCATTATTTCAAAGGTTCACTTCCAAAAAACCATAATACATAAGGTTAAAACAATATCACACAAACGTTCATGTTAAGTTCCATAACCATTTCAGTTGAAGTTTAGCAGGGATTATAAACAATGTTTAACCATTTTCGGTAAGGTAAAGTTATGGTTCGGGTTTATGCGGGTATTGAGGCCTATTTTGCGCGTGTGAGGTGAGGTGACAGTGAAGTGATGGTGAAGTGACAATTGTCACCTCGCGTGAGGTGACTCTCTATTTGATTTGAACGGAGACTCACCTCACCCGAGGTGACAATTGTCACTTCACTGTCAGCTCACCTCACACGCCGTGCAGAATAGGCCTAATTGTCACCTCACCGGTGAGAGAGAGTCACGTTACTCGCAGAATAGGGGGGAGTGAAGTGATGGTTTTTTTTTCTTTTTTATTATATTGTCACTATACACACTTAGTTTTTTCTACCGAGCTCGGCTGTGCAAATCTCGGCAAAATAAGTTTCACTGAGAGCTCAGCAAAAGTGACATTTGATTGCTGAGTCTCGGATAATGTTTAGCTGAATCTCAGCAAACAAATGAAATGTTTGCTGAGATCTCAGTAAAAAATCTTTTGCCGAGATTTGCACAGCCGAGCTCGGTAGAAAAAACTAAGTGTGTAGTCACTTTAACACTCTTGGGTGATTCGTGACTTGTCTGGGGGCGAGATTTAAACTCGTGACTTTGGCGTGAGAGGTATGGATGTTAACCACTACGCCGGGGTCGCCCCCCGAAGTGATGGTGGTGGTATTTTATTTGCAGGAGAGTCACCTCACCCGAGGTGAAAATTGTCACTTCACTAGAGAGAGCGAGTCACCTCACCTCACACACCGCGCAGAATAAGCTTAGGAGTCACGTGACTCGCAGAATAAGGAGGAAAGTCACCCGGTGGAATCGAGAATAACATAGGCCTATTCTGTACATGGCGTGTGAGGTGAGGTAACAGTGAAGTGAAGTGAAGTGATGGTGAAGTGACAATTTTCACCCCGGGTGAGGTGACTCTCCATTTGATTTGCCCGGAGAGTCACCTCACCCAAGGTTACAATTGTCACTTCACTGTCACCTCACCTCACACGCCGCGCAGAAATAGGCCTATGTAACACCAATGAATGTGATATTGCTAGGCAATACAAAAACGGCATAGACAAATACAACAACTACACTCTATTAACTGGGATGACTCATTTTCAGTTTCGCCTCTCTCATTCTTTGTACAATATAGGGATTCAACCCGTCACTGAGGTCAATTTGGTCAACTTCCACGGTCGCCGTATGCAAAAAACAGTTAAACTCCTCTAACCGTACACCTTCGCCTTCGGAATAGTTCCTAACATCATCGAAGCGCAACATCCACCCGGGCCCTCGAGGACAATCCGGAAACGTGTTACAAAACAGGTGCACAATTTTCTCGCTGATACTCATCCGGTGGAACTGGAACGCATTCGGACAGCGAAACCGATCGTACTGGAACCGTCCGACTCGATTCAACGTCCCAACCAGTGCACGCCAGCCTCGTGCTCCCCCGGTCAGGTTCAGCAATTTGCGTACCTCGTGATCGGCTATGGTCAGTCGGAAGATGCCATCGCATCCCCGGTGATTGAGGGTAACGGCCAAATGGTGTCGCTGGTGGTGGGCAGTGGGGTTGCGATAAAACTCAACCGCCAAGATGTCCGGCCGGGTGAGGAAGCGTAGGGTGGCTGATCCGGCAGTGGATTCTGGGAACTGACTGGTTCGGAACGGGTCGGAAACTAATCGAAACGGCGGTGATGGGGTTATTTCCGATAGGGAGCGTTTGACAGAGATCGTGAAAATGGAAGGTTGATTGCTGATGGTTGCTCGAGGAACTGCTAGCTGGGTTTTTGTGCATTTTTCGGTAGAGCTGAAAGGATGCGAATGCGGTGCGGTTAGTAAGATGAATATGAATAAGAAAACAGTTCACTTACGTGTTGCTTGGTGAAACCCCATCGAAGGTGCGGATGCGTTGGCCGTGTCCTGTGAAAGCCTCGATCTACCGCTGCCGCTGCCACTGCTAGTTCCGCTTCCTTGCGACAGTGTCGTGTCATGATTCTCCCGGAACAGCGTGTTGACCAATCCTCGCAGATTATCCGGCAACGCGGCAAGACAGCTTGGTTGACGTCCGAGCAGTTCCGGAATGTTTTCGCTGGTTGCATCCATTGAGTCATTGACCACGATAGGTGTGTCGCTCAACTCGACAAACTCTACTTCGCCTTCGTATGATGTGCTGTTCAGTTCATGCTTGATTGAAGGTATTTTCCGAGGAGATTTGTCATTGCTGTTGGCTATTACCGTTGCATTCGGACTGTGCGATGCGAAGGCTGGCGTTGGACCCCTGGAGGATGAAGCGGATGTGCATCGAGGAGTAACTGGTTTGACCGGAGACTGGAAAGGTGTGTCTTGCCGACGAGGTGGTACACCGCTATCACCTGGTAGTTGCGTGGAATATACCGAAGGAAGAAAATCCTCCGAATGCGGCATCGGCAGGGTGTCTTCCGGAACTTCAACGGGTGGATTATTCGGCTGCTCCTCGTCATCTTCTGCGTAGACGATCAATCTGGATTTCCGTGGAACTCTCGGTACCGATGGGGTTTCCGTGTGTGGACTAATTTCCATTTGTGTCGGCGGTTCTAATGCGTCCGAAGCAGTAGAAGAACCCCTTGATCGATTCATATCGGACACTAATGCAGCCGCATTTGCCTGTCGTTCCCTTCGCTCCTTTCGCGTCAACATTCTCAGCTCTTTGGGGAGCACGTTCTGAAGGAACATGTTTTTCTTTAGCTCATAATACTTCTCCACATAAAAGTCCAACTTTCGCATACAAAGCTTAGCTTCACGAGACGACTGCCGGTTGATCTCGTCTATTACAAATTGTTCCATGTTGGTAAAGTTCTTCATGTAATCCAAAGTAAAGATAAATTCTTCCTTAATTTCAACCAAACCATCGTCTTTGACGGGAGAGTCGGATATTTCTACAACGTCGACCTGCGCTGGAGTTATCATCGGGGATAACTCCTGGTTGAGATTTTCGGTTTCCATGGGTTCGATCTGAGGCTCATCAAGTGTTCCCATCTCCGGCAAGGAAGGTTCTGCGACAGTCCCTAACACACGCACCAATTCGTTCGTATCAGCAAACTGAGATTGTTCCATTGGGAATATTTCTTGCGGTTGCGTCATTGCCATTTCCGACCTCATTTGAGCTATCTCTGAATCACCAGATGACACGCTACTGGGTCGACTACTGGACACGGTACTTTCCTGTTGTGGAACGGCTTCATCCACTTCAATTTCCGCTATAGCTTCCGATCGTTGCATTCCGAGCTGGAAGCGCTTATTTAGCTCGTCGTCATCAAAAATCAACCATTGAAATCCAGCTTTTTCCGGTGCCAGTAAATTATGTTTAATCTGAAGAAACTTGGCCCGGATTTGTGCCTCGGAAAGCATGTTTTTTGCGTTGGAGCGTTTCAATATGTTATCTAGTAGCTGATCGTCCTCAGTAGTTTTCTCCGCTGCAGCCTTCGTCGGAGATGCAGCACGGGGTTGTCTCGCGTGTAAGTCCATCAGATAAAAGTCCAATTTGTCCAATTTCAGACTCCATTTATTGAAGCTCCTTTTTAACTGAAAAAAAATCAACCCCAATCACATGCTACAAGCTGCAACGGATCTTTCAAAACTCACCTTCTTCACAATCATGCCCTCGTACTTCAGCAGCCGATTGTGCTTCCGCATTGACACCCAACTCTCAGCAACTCCGGCCGCCTCCAGTTGCTCCCTATATTCCTGGTACTCCTCTTCGCTATGCAAAGGCTTATTCAGCGCCAGAAAGAACCGATACTCGTAGTACTGACTTTCAAAACGCACCATATCCAACGGTTCCCGGATGCGTGTCTTCGGATCACTGGCATACAGTCGGTAGAGCTTTTTCCGAAATGGACGAAGAACTTTCTCGCTTTGGTCACATCCCCTACGCTCGGCAATCTCCCTCGCAATATCGCGAATGTTGGTTTTACACATGAAAATTTCCTGTGCGTACTGGTTATCAGCCAAATCATTCGACACAACCTGTTGTACCGGGAAGGAACATTATCAATCAATTATTGATTGTTTCTTCACTAAACTAAACTAATTCACTAATTCCTAACAATTGCCCGGTTAAGATGTGAGTGTGGAAGTGGTGTGAGAAGATTCTTCAGGGTGACTATTCATTTTGCTAAATAAAATTCTTTGAATTTTCCAAGCTTTAAAGGAATACTAACCCTATCTATACCTACATCAAAATAATTTTCATCATTTTTTCATACTGCCTTAGGGGGGTTTTTTCGAAAGAAAGCATGCAGAATTTAAAAAAAAATGAACTGTAGACGGTTAATGATTTTCCCGGTTACTTTTGAATGTCCGGATATTGCCCGGTGCCTGTGGCCACCCTGACACCCACCCATTACCTACCGGTGGCGGTGCTGGAATCTCCGGCTCGACAAACTTCACCGCCATTGGCGGCTTTTCGACTTTCCGCTTGGCGGATGCTGCATGGGAGCGAACATTTTCCCCAAGGGCGATTATTTTCTGGTGCAGCTGATCAACGGAGGCCGACGGTTGTTTGAACGTTACTTTCCTGGAAGCCATTACTGAAAGAAAAAACGTTGATTACCACAGCACTGACAATATTAGAAACTCCCGAAGCACCTAACCAATCACTCGAGAAATATTGTTCGTTATTCAATATTTTCGATGATGTCTTTTATGAATCGCAACTCGAAAAAGGATCCCGATAATGGGTTCATCCACCAGGATTACGTTTAACTAAATAAATTACAATTACAATTACAAGTACATTTAAAACAAACAAACAGAATAAAACGTAGCCGCCAACTGCAACGGATTTTAATAACTGAAACGTACAAGCGCATAAACAAAGATGAGGGGTAGCCAGATGGTTGCATTATGATGCAATGTTTTGGAATGCCTATTGCCTATATAGGGATGTCTGATTGCTTCTCGATTATTCGAGCTAATCAATGGATTAAAATCATGGTTGACTTTTTGCAACAGATGTCGCTAGTAAAATAAAAGTTAAGGAGATTTATCAACCGGAGGCACGGTAACCAGCGTAAACCAAGGGGGGATCAACTTCATAAATTAGCTGAATTGGGTTCCTTAAGGGTATTCAGGTAAATGCATATTCGTAATCTGCATTAAAAATTGAACCCAAACCCAAAATTTCAACAATTTTGGTACACAGGAACTATTTTAAATAAGTACGATTACATTTGCAAAAATCACGTTATTAGCGCCCCTCGGTGTCACTTTGTATGGGAGCTGTCAGTTTAGTGTCAAACAGTGAAGTCGACAGTGAGCATTCATAAGGGCGTATACGCGATGATCGATTCTCTTAATCGATTTTCTCTTTTGTTAATAACTCGCTAGATTTAACGTTTGTCGGTGCGTTTGCTGTTGCTTTTGATAGCCAATGCAACCTGTTACAACTCTACATTGAATAAATTCTACAAAATTGTTTCGCTAAGCTGTAGCAATGCAAAGAGAAAATCGATGAAGATAATCGATCATCGCGTATAGGCCCTTATGCATGCTCACTGTCGAAGTTATTATTTAGCTTTGAATCTTGATTTAAAAATCGAGAACCTGTGAGTTTCCGCTAGGTCGATTTGGGAATCGCTCAGCGTTGGTTCCTGTAGGAGCACGTCTTCCCAATTGTAAATACACTTCAAAAAAACAAACTAAAAAATACATAAAAATACATTAATGCGTACACGTTAAAACTAAAATACCAAATCAATTTAAAATCGTTAGTTTCCACCGGTTGATTTTTCTGAGGAAAAACCGTATTTTGAGGTGAATATCCTATCACCGAGCCTATATCACAAACCGGTCCGCACTCGTGTTTATTTCAGTTACCATGGGAACGTAATTTGTGATTAGTCCCGGTCCCTTTCAAATTGTATCATTTTTTATGTACGGCCAGGTACGGCCTTAAATTTGAAATCGACAGTGAGCATGCATAAGGGCGTATACGCGATGATCGATTCTCTCCATCGTTTTTCTCTTTGCATTGCTACAGCTAAGCGAAACAATTTTGTAGAATTTGTTCAATGTAGAGTTGTAATAGGTTGTATTGGCTTTCAAAAGCAACAACAAACGCACCGACAAACGTTAAATCTAGCGAGTTATTAAGAAAAGAGAAAATCGATGAAGAGAATCGATCATCGCGTATACGCCCTTATGCAGCTGCGCAGGAGGTAACCTCTCCCTGTGGGTGCAAACTTGTTATGCATAATTTAACATGAAAACATCTCCGATCCATACCGAAATAATAACAAATTGTTTTCAAACACGTTTTCCAACACGATTCAAGCAAAATTTTCCAAGAGATATTATTAGTTTTTCTTTATGGAATTATTTGCCCCAAAAATCGTCTGTTTTACTTGGAAAATCTGGAAACTATCCTCCTTATAGTAGTTCTCACTTCGAAATGTAGGTGGCGAAAGCTTGGAAAAGTTTCATTGCAAGACGCCAATTGGCGTTTTATGCCCCGTTCACATTACAGCGTATATCACGTGATATACCGTCAACCACCGATGACTCCACAGTTAAGCCTAGTACGCAGCTGAAAAGAAAACGGAAAAGTAATTTTTTGAGGAATATTCCCAAAAGTAAATTTGACAGCTATAGGGAGGTGTCTTTTGCTATATTTTGAGATCATAGGGGGTGTCGTCTAATTTTAATATCAACAATTATCAGTTTTTATGTTTTTAAAATGCATCCAAAGCATCATTTTAACAACAAACGTTAAAATTACCTAACGGAATAATTGATCAGACCATTATTCCGCAAGGAAAGTGAAATTGCATTCAGAATGCGCCACCTTCATGTCGATCACGATACTAATGTAATCGATCTTTCCTTTACCGATTTCTTTTGAACTGCGTACTGGGTCAAGAAATGCTAAAGAAAAATAATTTCTTTAGCATTCCGTGTCCTATCCCGTAGCACGTAAAAACGTCATTACTTTTCAGCTGCGTACCAGGTTTTAGTGGGATAATCATTACCCAGCCTTCGGATGAATGAAGGTAATGCCATTTTAATTTCCGATCCAGTTTTCAAGTTGATTAATGTTCGCTTATTTTTTAATTTTTTCGCCAACACAGAGTATTCCTTCCGTGCACCAGCCGGAATCGGGAGCCGAGAGTGAATTTGATGAAAATGGAGAAGTTCGGAATTTTACCCGGTCAACCGGAAGATGGTTAACACAACATGAGGGATCTAAAAATTTATGATTTATTGTTTCATCAAGGATACGTAAATTTTATTGTAATAAGGTTCAATAAAGTCGAACATAAAACTGATTTTTAGTACTCATCACAATTATAGAAAACAACTGTAAAATGCCCTATTCAACTAAATTGTCTACATTGAAAACCCGGCATTGCGTAGTTTTTATCAAACATTCATTCTTTCTGAAACAGTTAATTTCCACCCAAAACGAAGTCTTTGCAGAATAAAACATTCTTAATTTTAAGCTGAAAGATAAAAACCAACAGGCTTAGTGATGAAAGTATAAAAACCAGCATAGTTTCTATGAGACAACTAAGTTTTCAATTACAGTAAAACATACTTTGGCGAAACATGTATGTAAACAAACTTTGATAGAGTCATGGGGGCTCGAGCACTCCTGGCTCAAAGCTTTTGGCAGGAATCAACTGAAAAAGAGCAAACCAGTTTTAAACTTGAGAAAATTTTCAAGCAGTTTTCCATTGGCTTGCAAAATAAAATTGGTTGACTGCGCAGTACCAAGGTTGCACTTAGGTGTCAAGATGATTATTGCGCATTTCACACCACACTGGACTAATAAGCGTGTTTTCACTTATTAAACAGTGTGATTAAAGTGCGAGCTTCCGTCTAATCGTCTTGGTGTCTTCGGTGCACTTATTTCTTATGATGCAAGCAATAAGTGCTCCGAAGACACCAAAACGATTTGATGCAAAGGTGCACTTTTATGACATTTTTTGCATTTTTGGGGCAGTCCAGTTTCAGATGCAATCAGCAATACAAAAGACTTATACCCCGTTCACATTACAGCATATATCACGTGATATACGCTGTCTTGCAACGAGCACTCATACATCTAGTTTTCACTGCAAATCCTATGTATGAGTGCTGATTGCAAGACAGCCCATATTAAGTGATATAGGCTGAAATGTGAACGGGGTATTATTATTGAGTTGTTTCGTTTCTCCGTGTAGCATTTTCACAATACGTAATATTTGAACGGACCAATCACAAACCATCGAGAACTGTCATAGCTGTCATTATCGGTGCATTCGTCCGATTCGTCCAGTCTAAAGCCCTACAGTAAAAGTATGGCCGTCTGTCAAAAGTTGTTCCAATCGAACCGTCAAAATGCACCGCTTTGCTCGATTGGAACAGCTTCTTTCAGTTTTGTGGTGACAGTCGTCCATACTTTTACTGTAGGGCTTTAGTCCAGTCCAGTCAGTCGTCACGTCAGTGTCCAAAGTGTTTGCTTTTGTTTCGCGAGAAAGCGTAGGTTTTCCGCGGATCGTTTGTGTGGTGAAAATTCGTTCGCGTCTCCGTCAGCCTCAAACTACCCCCCACCTGTCATCGGAAACATATTCGATTCGATGCAAACTGTGGCGTAATACAATCTGTTTACCTATACAGCTGATATTATTCGTCGAGCAAGTGAGTGTCTTTTGTCGCGCACATAACACGGAAAATAGATTTTATTTGCCTCTTTTCGCTTCCATTGGCAGCCAGTTTCCGTTTGACAGTCGATCTGGAGAAAGGTTCCGCGGCAGCACAGAAGGAGTAGTTTTGTTTCTTTTCTTGTCACGACGCCCATCACCGAAGGGAGAAAATCTCTGGCCCGGACAAGAAGTGCAATTTGCCAATATTTGATTGAGAAAATAGTTCAATTTGTGATAGTGCCATCGTCAAGCGTGTTCCAGTGTTTCTAAAGTTTGTTGATAACGAAGAAGTAAATCACCTGGTGTGTATTTTCGTCAGCTCCAGTGGAATTAGTGCTGCGCCCTTCTACGCCTCGGATATTTTGTCAGCGAATCAGTGTATTCGGAACGGTGTTACGGAGAGAAAAACAAACCATCATGAGCAAGCATATGTATTCGACGGCCAATCTGACCGATGTAGAGCTTAAAGACCAAGGCAATCGAATGTTTTCCGCGAGAAAATACGACGATGCCATCAATCTCTACACGAAGGCAATTGTAAGTAGTTTTTTTTTTGTCTTTCTTCCCTAGACTTGGGTATTTTTCTCCGCTCCAATACTGCTACAACGCAACACCCATCGCAAGCTCCACTAGTCACTTACGAGACGGTATTTTTATCTACTCGCGTCTGTGATGGGTGTCTACTGTTTTGTTTATTCCATCATCACTTTTAGCTTAAGGAAAAAACAAGCGAATGCCTGTGGATGTTGCTGTTTCAATTAACAGGAAATTTCTTATAACGAGCAGCTCCCCAACACCATCAACCAATGCGAAGGCTGTCTAGGCAGAAAATTAAGACCGAATGTTTGCGCATTTACTAAAGCAAAATTCATTTTAGGTCGAGTCACCCAACAACCCAAATTCCGGTTACGTTGGGGTAGGTAGAATCCTGCGGGACGACGATTCCCAAACAAAACTTCCAGCCCGAGTTCAAGGTTACTGTTATATCGATAAACGGTTCGGTTTAGTTTCGATTTTTCGTGATACGCAGGGAAAACGCTCTCGCCAAGGCAACAACCCATTATCTTCAATCAACGAAGATGGTATGCTAGCGCTGCTAATGCTGCAGCAGCGAACGAACTTTTTCGTCCGTGCTCTTTGTTGTTTATATTAAATACTTTTCAAACTCGCGGTACGTTACACGCAAACGGTAAGCGCTCTGGTGTCCACACTGTAACTGGATAGTACAGTCATAGTATAGTCATTGATGGGTAAAATGTTCTTCCCTTTTAAAGTAAAGTAGCTTAACCCTGGGAGGGAGCCGTAGATAGTACACAAGGAATTCATTGTAGCTTGTTTTTGTCGTGATTTTTTTGCAATTAAATTAAAATCAAAATAGACATAGTCAAATTGCCTGATTTGCTTTGAGTGTGTAGTGATTGCTTGATGTTCACTCATGAAATAAATCACATAGTGGAAAATGTCCATGTGAATTTCACATAACTTTCATGTGATGCAATAATTGGAAATTGCACCACATCTTATGTGTCAAATGAAATCTATATGATTTCTCGTATAGAATTTCTAATGCTATGTGATATTCAGAAAACAATTATTATTTTTGTTATTGGAAAAATATTATGTATAATGTATAATACTCTAGTGTTGGCCTATGGATCTAAGATTTTTCCCATCGCTAAAAATCTGCTATTTATCAATTTTATCTAGATGAACGCGTCACCTTGACGGTACTAATGGATATTTGTGGTCACTATTGGAAATTTAGTCGATTCCTGAATTTATGTATGGGTCCAAATTAGGAGCATTTAGGCCGACATTACATCCATTTCTTCTACGTTCAGAATATAAACTAAAAGAAATTTTTTTTCAGTTTTGTTCAGTGTGCAGAGAGAAAATGTACATTTTTGTTTTACATGTTATGGTGCCACGGCACCAAAGATTTTGAAAAAAAAAACCTTGATTAAGGTGAATCGCTGTGACATCCTTATTCTCGGAACCACTTAATGTACTCACATAATGTAGTTTCAAAGGAAGCGTGCGATACTTCGTAAATCTTCCCAATGCTGCTCTCTTGATTGACTTCAACCTACGTAGCTCTCTCGTCTGCCAGGGAAGGTGAGACACTTTGTGGTGAGTTCTTTTCGGGACGTGCCTGCCAATGACATGTGAAAAGGTTTGCGCTGCAGCCTCAACGTCATCTGGATCAAGGATGTTCTCCCCTGCCATGCTAGACAATACATCTATGATGCTACGGTGGTCAGCTTTACGGAAGTCATAGGAAACCGCAGCAGGATAATCGTCGAAATCACGCACGAGTTTGTCCTCAACAGTGACAATTAGAGGAGGGTGATGTTGAACTAGCTTAGTTAGTGCACAAGGAGCCGAGAAAATTAATGAAGCCCTCTCCTGTGTGCTCACGAAGCAGAGGTCCAAACTACGATCATTTTCGTTAACTACATGGTTAATTTGAGAAAGCGTCGCTGCGCTGTACTGCCGTTCTACGCATAACTGTCCCATGTTCTATGCAATCCTTATGCACCGTGGGAGTCTTATGCGTGTAAAGGCAGTGTAGTTGTCGAGAAGGCTAATAGCTCCTGCGTGAAATGTAGAGCTATCAGGATCTGGATACAGGAATCCGCTCTGAGATGGACTCCACGAAACGCCTGGCAGATTGAAGTCACCAAAAATGAATATCTCATCAACTGGAGTGGCACTTTCGATAACTGTGAAAACTGACCGACAGTGAGTATCGATAAGTTCATTGTCCCGGACTCGATCAGGTGGAATGTACAGAACGCATAGAAATAGTGTGCGATCACCCAGATTGATGGCTGTATATGAATCGTTCTCGATGGTCTTTGCCTCTAACCCGCCACGGACAGCTACAAGAACACCTCCACCAGTAGATTTACGGCTGTTGTTAGGATTCCGATCGCAACGAAAGAGCTCGTAGTCTGGACCGAAGACTTGACTGGAAAGCGTTCGATAATCGAGCCACGTTTCACACAGGACAATAACATCGTAGCAACAATCCGATACAGCTAGGCGGTACTCTTCAACATCAGAATTCATTCCACCGGCGTTTTGGTAGAAGATCACGACGTCCTGCTTGCAACAAGGAATCGAACGACTGCCTCATACATCTAGTTTTCACTGAAAATCCTATATGTGAGTGCTCATTGCAAGACAGTCTATATTACATGATCTAAGCCATAGTCTGTACGGGGTATTACACATTTTATGAGTAGGCCCCTTTTTTCATGAAATGTGTGAAATTTTACACATTAATGTGTTTACGCTGGTTACCGTGCGTATGTTTGACATCGACCTTGACTGTGTCATCTGTCAATTCGATCAAAACAAAGTTTTGCGTAACAATTCAAAGCAGGTACGTTTTTTAACATAATGAAAATTTAGTAAAATTAATAATATACTATGCAATATTTTCAGGCTTCATGTCTATTTTGGCTTCCTGGCGCCGATATCGTATTGTAGTAATCTTCCCGACATTGGCAATCAGTTCCATCGTCGCAGATTACGCCTATACACGCAAGTGGAAGCAACAACAACGCTTAGCTAACGTTTCGCAAGTTCAGTAGAGGACAATATGTTCGGACTAACTCGACAGTACTTCCTGGCAGCTATCCCATTGGCCGGATATGGTTTTGGGTGGTTTTTAGATAACAAGGAAACTGAACGAATGACCATGTTCCGTGATAAGAGTGCGCTATATGGCAGAGTTCTGAAAGAAGGCGAGAAGCCCTCTTGGCCATAAAGATCACTCCTAGTCTATGAGGCGTAATTGTAGTGGGAAATATACTTGGTAAAGCAAACTACTGATTTGTTTTTCATTAGTTCGAAATATCCCATGGGGTATTTTTTTTTTCTTTGTTTTGTCCTTATTTTGGACGGCTAAGACCGCTCACGGTCCATCTCGCCACTGTGGTTGTCGTGTTTCGTGTTTGGTGGTTTCTTCGATGTTGTATCGTCGGTTTCAGTTTATGTTTGGATTTTTGTTCGTTTAATGAAAGCTACAATTTCTTTCAGGTCCGTCTCGTTGTTCTCTTTTACACAGCAAAAAAAGTTGTTGAATATTACATCGAAACTGCTGCAACCAGGTCAATCCATCGGTTGTGTAATATCACATTGTACGATGTACATCGATTTTGCGAACAAAATTACATCCATTGATGTAATATTGTATCTGCGTTTTGCTATTACATCATTATTTCATACATCAGCTTGAATTACGTTGATCGATATTACATTTTTTTTGCTGTGTAGGATGGCGGTCAGCGGTTTGCAGTATTCTAGCACGATATGCTCTGATCTTTCGATGTTGAACTTGGGGCAGTAGTATAGTAGGTGCTGTAGGTCTTCCGTTTCGTCGCACAATTCGCAACTATCGTTTATTTCCCATCCCCACTTGTATCTGCGCTCCTTTGTGTTTGTGTGTCCTGTGCGTATCCGCCCGATGATAGTTTTCTCTTCTGTGTTCAGGTTTAATCCATGGAACCAGATTTTTTCCCCCGGCGTTTCCATTATTTCCAGGTGCCATATTCCTTTCTCCTCGGAAATTTTTCTGTACGATGTTATCCAGTCGTCCCAGATGTCAACTTTCGCCAGCAGGATGGCATCGGGTAGTGTCAGGGAGTTGTAATTTGTTTGTGGTCCTTGAGTGGCTCGAACCGCTTCTTCATCAGCCTTTTCGTTACCCGGAATCCCTTGGTGGCTGGGAATCCATTGCAGCTTGATCTTGTGGTTCCTGTCTTGTTTCAGCAGTTTGACGATTTCCCACGCCAGGAAGTTTTCATTCTGCTTGCTTCTGTTTCGGATGGTTTGACAGGCTCCCTTGGAGTCGGTAAAAATCACTGCTTTGTGATATTTTTTCTCCTTTGCGAGTTCGATGGCCGAGCGAATAGCCAGTAGTTCGGCGTTGGTGATGGTGTAATTAGGGTTGATTTTCTGCGTCAAAACTTGCTGGTCTGTGTGGTCGTACACCGCCAATGCCGTTCCCGTCGTCGTTTTGGATGCATCCGTATAGAGGTGGTGAAAGTCTTCATAGTAGAGATTCTTTATTTCCAGGAATTTTAGGTTCCAGAACTGCTGGCTGTAGTTTTCCATTTTGTTTTGGTGCTCAAACATGTCCTCTTTGATGTTCCTCTCCAGTGTGTAGTCCGAGTACTGCCGTCTATTCAAGAAGGCTATTTCGCTGTCTTTCGGGTTCATTTGGCATATGATGTAGTTGAATTTGACGGCCGTTTCCGTCCAGTAGGATCCGTTTCCCAAGTTGTTCCTGATTGAACGATCGGAGAAAGGCTGTAGCTGATTGGTGTGGTAGGTGCTTTTCAGGAGCTCCTTCAGAGTGAGCAGCTCCCTTCTGATGTCCAGCGGTGTCTGTCCGGTTTCGGCGTGGATTACATGGATTGGTGTGGTTTTTAGGTAACGCATAGCGCTGCGAAGGTACGAGTTGTGTACAGTTTGTAGCTTCTGAAGGTTTGTTTTGGCCGCATTTCCGTATATTTGAGCTCCATACT